TTTGGGACATGCGTTAGAATGGACACAAGTATTGACGTTTAATTAAAAAACACCCTGTATATTTTTTAATTACGATCACTTTTTTCGGCGACCCGGAAGCACGTCACTGGGGCGGCGGCGGCGGCGGCAATCGGGAACCGCGCAGCGGCTGTCAAGCGTTTTGGCGCCGGGGTCTTTGATCATCCGGGCCAGTGACCCGGGGCGGCCATCTGACCAAAGTGGCGGCCCTCGGGGTGGCCGCCCCCGCGCCAATTTCGCGCCCCCACCGTGTGCCGCCCCCTGCCCGCGAAAACACCCGCGTCGGGGGCGGAAGGGGCGCGGAAGCTCGAGTATCGGGCCATTTGTCCCGGATGAAAAAGTGCGGGGACCGTTATCGCGCCATATGTTCTTCGGCCGGAGGAGAGAAATCGGGGGGCCTCTCTCTCTCTCTCTCTCTCTCTCTCTCTCTCTCTCTCTCTCTCTCTCTCTCGGCCGCTCTCTTAACATTCTGAACGCGGCGACTGATTTATCGGGTTTTGTGAGAAATATCGTCTCGGCCGTTCTCATCCCACAAAAATACGAATTTAATAAACAATTAACGAATATTTCTGGAGCCCTTGTTTCTTCGTTTCCGAGGCCGTTCGTCCGAAAAACGTCCCTTATTATGCGGGGCGTTGATCAAGTACCTTGACGGGGCGAATGTTTCACTAATTTCACGACAATAGGTCCAAAAACACTATTTTATACGGATTTTGATTATATTTTTGTTCGGTAACATGGTAATTAGACAAATTCAAAATAATAATAATAATAATAATAATAATGAATCTACAATTGAAATTGATAGTAAAGGGCTAAGAAAGTTAATTGCCTATAAAATTCTATAGATTCTCAGATTTTTCGTTGTTGGAAGAATTGATTAAACGCAAAAATTTTGGTTTTGTAGTTTTGTGTTTCTTTTATTTATTTCAGACTTCTCAGCCCAATAACAAATCGCAAACACAAATCGCATAAATTCCTGGTTTCTCAAACGAGTAGTAAATTTCTTACGAACTTTTGATATGCAGTTAATGAGGTTTTCAATATAAAGACGGACAACAGTGGCTAGCGCGAGGTGGGTTAAGCGACTCAGATTGAGACAATTTTACGACTCTATAAACAAGATTTTTGAGCCAGACAGATAGTGATATGACAATGTGTTAAGGTTTCAGCCTGTGCGCCTCAGTTTTTTGTAAACGGATATTTGAAACCGCAAAAATGCTCAAAAAACTCAAACCACCTAAATATAATATTCCAAAGCCCGAACGTCTTGCTCTAAAACGTCTAGAATCTAATTCCGATATCGTAATTCCAAGAAATATCAGGAAAAAATTCAAGATGTTCTTAGAAACGGATCCTATGATCAAAACATCCTGAAACATACGTGAAAAAGTCTGTCGCCCCTCAAGACTCTAAAATTCCTCATCTCTACGGACTCCCTAAGATTCACAAACCGGTACCCGTTCGACTATTGGTTTTCCGTAATATTTTCTAGCAAAATGTACCTTCTATATTAAAACCCTTTCCAGGGAAAACTGATAGTTTTATACTTAATTATTTTCATTTTATTGGATGCACAGAATTTTCTGGTTAGTTTCGAAGTAGGAAACTAATATAATTGAAATCTGACAATATGGAACCAAACACTTTTTTCAGTTTGAAAAAAGAGATCTTAAATTACATTAATTTTGAACTCATCACTAGCGCAATCGCGCAAAGCAATTTCTTCAAAAAAGCGGTTCATGTTCTATTGGATATATCTTTACAAAAAAAATGTGAAAACAGTCCCAAATTTAATCACTTATTTGTTAAAAAAATATCCTCACCGTGCTGGCTTTTACTGCGCTTCCTAGCGAAGATAAAGATTTGAATTAAATACAATTTATTAAAAATCATAATATAATTCAATGTAATTATATTCTAGTTATATTATACCTTTCACTTCACTCGTCAAATTTACTTCGAACTAGGAAGTAAAATAAATAAAAGCGAGTTCCAAGCTCATATAAGGTCACAAATATGCAATTTATTTATTTTTTTTTTTTTTAATTTACATTTATATGTAGAGGAATACGAGCAAATGGTGTAAATATACTTGGTACGTTAACACAATGAAATTAAGAATCTATCGATCAATCACCAGCGTCGGACGAAAGTTTATTGCAATTTGGTATGCGAGCAAAGGACGATTTTTTGTGAAACACTCAATCAAGTGTTGTCAAGTAAAGAACTAGAGGTGAAGAGGTTATAAATGTAATAGTAATTAAAAGAACAAATACTTTTTTTTTTCAAGCGTTAATAGATTCATAGATATACACAGGATACAACAAATCAGAGAGCTACAAAAAAAAAGACAACGGAGATAGCTCTGCTCTCTGGAATGTTAACCTAACTAGATATAGTGAAATATGAGTTTCATGTAAGATTCAGGAGGGAGGTTTGAACTTTTTGAATGCGATACTTCTCTATATTGGCAGTAACGTGACTTCTATACTTTAGAATAGAGTAAATACTAAATTTTTGCCAATGCCATAAAAAGGCAAAACATGGTTTCTTATAGAGAATTTTACGTTGCTCTTAATATTAGCAATTTACAAATATCATCGCAGCGGGTTTATTAGGATTAAGTGCGAGCATATATTGGGAGAAAAAACTACAAATATTATCGTAAGGATGTAAAAATCAGCAAACAGAAATGGACCTGAAATACTACTCTGAGGTACTCACTCGTTAACGGCCAAAGGCGTAGAGCTTGATTCGCTAAATGTTACATTTTTTGTTCCGACATTTTACTAAATCCTATGCGATGAAAAATTCAAATCAGGATTTCATGATTGATCATGTCAAAAGCTTCGCTAAAATCACGTAAAACGAAGGCAACATTTTGTTATAAACATAAGCCTCAAAAACATAACGAGACCTAAAATTTTAAAAATTGCAACGCAAGTTCAGAAAACTAAAGCAATATTTGATTACAAGTTAAATTTTCGCCCAACTGCCATATTATTAAACAAAAATATAATTGTTTCACTTGATTAGCGCGCAGTATGGATAAAACGATGTCACACGGACCTAGACTCACCGACACGCATCATTTGAAGGGTGAACGCCAGCAGACTTACCTGCAACAAACAAGAAAGAAATTAAAGACTACATTTTTTATATATAAACGGAACAAAGAAACTACCGCTTTTCGCTCGATCTAGCGCAGAGAATTGAAATTTTCATTTTTATTGGAGGTGAACAAGATTGCATTGTTACTACGAAGACGACCCGAGCCGCGGATTACACTTCTGCGAAACTGTGATGGAAAAGTGCAATTTTTACCGTCGCAAATCAAAATTAGCTTGATAAGTTAGATAGATGAATTTGGTTTCAAGTGAAAATGTACGAAAATTACATGATTGAACATTAGAATTGGAAATAAGGCAAAATAATATACCGATTAGTAAGTGGTCAAGAAGTATAAATAATTTCTTATCACATTTTTTAACAACATTCCTGACAACTTTAAACCTGAAATCTTAAATAATTTTAACTATCTAATACTTTTGCTTCTTTTATCCATTTTGTTTTTCTGTTTTTGCTTCTCATATTTCTAGGGTCAGTGTAAGGGCAGTCATTTGACTACTTCACCTAGAAATGTACATTGTAAATTATTATTATTATATTTAAATGAATTTGTTCCATATTTTAGCCATTCACTGTATCGGGTGTCTTAATAAGTAACTGAAAAACGAGTTAATCTTCCTCAAAATCGACAAAATTGGCCAAGAGATTATTTTTGAGGTTCTGAAACGCGCACCAGAGGGCGTAATTGTCATTTTAAATTTTCAAAACCGTTTTGCCGCAAAATTTGCTTATATTAACGACACTTAGAGTGAACACGATTTTAAAGGTGAGAAAATTTCAATTTTCTTTTGTTAGATGGATTTTTCCTATCGTCTGTTTACGCTGACACCGGAAGTACGAATTCGTGGTAAAAGTTAATAATTTGTATTCTGATTCGTTTAGTGTTAATCTCGATACCGAGCCCCTTAAAGCATATATAGCGGACCTTCCAGCATATCCGGATGGCGTAAAGCTATAACAATAATGCGACGAATTTGTGAAGACATTGAAAGAGTTACAAAAAATTGAAGGCCTAGTGTATAAAAGACCATCTTATATTAAAACCTGACAAAAAATCACAAGTCAATACATAAGTCCTTTAGACGTGTTAAGTGTCCAAATAGACCAAAACTAACTAAAAATTCGCATACAAAATTTCTAGGTACAGAACTTGACTGTCAATTAAGGTGGTCCATTCAAATAGACTTAATAGCTCTTATTTTGCTATCTCAACATTGAGACCTTCCTTAAATCTTACAATATCGTAAGTTGGGACAGAGCAGCGGAAAAAAAAATTGTGCAGGGATGTTTTTAGAACTAAAAAAAATCTTATTCCTACAAGCGTCGATTTACTAAAACTATTAATTGATATACATAAAAGTAGACACAACTTTCAAAAAAATCTAATGTTTATTCTTACTCGACGAGGAATAACCCGGAGTTAGGGTTAAAAAAAATTAATAACCGTTGCTATAAAAAAAAACACATTTTCATTCAGTGCATGGTTTCTGCTGGGACTAGAGACGTTGAGCAAAAGAAATGTTTTTTATAATCAACATTTTTGAATTTCGTGAAGCGATTTGGCTCTTTTGTTTGTTGTTCTTTTCCACATGAAATTTTGTATTTGTTTAATGTAATATTATACATATTTTTAAATTTTAAAAATAGTTAGACATATTTTTTCTCGGCGAAATTTTCGGTGTGGTTGAATAACCGATTTTTTTCAGTTATCAAACGTTATCAAATTCGAGTTCGGAACCAGTCGCGGCGAGGGCAAGAAGCGCGTGAATATCTCCGGCTCCCTAAACCGCCGTCCAAGCCCGGTAGCGACGACAATGGGCCCTCCATATACGGTACCAGAACCATGTAAGGTCCGCTAGAGGCGGGTACCGACAGCGTAGCTGCCGCTCCGCCGCCGCGGAACAGACACACGCTCGCAGTTTCTTTGGTTCGCTGCTGCCTGACTATTGCGTGTCGCTCGTTTGTCCGACTGATCGACCCGCGACCGGAAAAACGGTGAGTACCCATATTTTTACGCGAAAATTATAGAAAACTACTAAGAAAAAATATTAAATGGTATTCCAAAGTTAACGTTGTATAACTGCACTATATATATATTATTTTTATACTTTTTTTTCTTACACCGTAAAATGTACATAGCCGTCAAAAAAAAAAATATATATATATATATATATATATATATATATATATATATATATATATATATATATATATATATATATATATATATATATATATATATATATATATAAATAAATGAAGTTTATATACTATCTGTGGGATTGTTATCAACTCCGAAACTAGGTATTATTTTTTTATTTTTAAACCGTAAAGTTTTCGTAATCGGACTTGCGTTCCAAGAAACCCTCAAAAAAACATATTTTTAAAACTTTACTTTTTACTTTTTGCTGTATAGAAAACGACTTTAGAAAATCATAAATTAAGTTTATAGATTATTTGCGCAATTTTTACAGACCCATGCATGCTAAACAATGTTATACAACTATGACTATATATTGCCGTTCTATTTTTTATTCTTAGACCGTGAAATGTACATATGCACAAGAAACTCCTTCAAAAAACATATATACAATATGAGTACAAATATTTTCGTTTTTTTTTTATAGAAAACTAATAAAAAAAAACTTTTTACACGATCGGCCTCAAAGATTTCTATATCATCACGAAGCAACATACTTTTTTTTTTCACAAAAGGTGCGCACGTAATATAGAAGATGTTAGCAGATCGTAGTTTACAGACACCTAAGATTTTTTTTGCAAATTACACTCTAGCTTCCCCGTCTACCTACTTTAGTAATAAATAGCGTAGAAAAAAGCGAAGAAAAACGTCCAACAATCAAAATTCGGTACCAAACGCTGGTCGTAATTACGTCGCAACCGTCCTCTCTCGATTTCAGTAACCCACGAGTCGATCTTCCAGTGTGCGGCCGGCTTTTGACCTCGTGGTCGCCCCATCTGGCCGCGAAACGGCGATTCTCGGGGGCGGCACGGGTCCCGCCCCCGACAGGAGTCGACTGGAGCGTCGTACTACCCGGAAAGTTCCCGCGGGAGCGGTCGCACACGGCACGGGGGCGAAGCCCCGCGCGACACGGGGCGAAAAGCGAACAGGTGCGACCGCGAGGCCCCCCGCACCGCGCCCGCCGCCGCCGCTCCGCGGCCCGAAGAAAACGAGAGAGACGAGAAGTCGGTCAGATATCGCGACCGAATGACGTCGGGGTAGACCGTAGGTCAGGTGGGTCTTTCGATTTGTATTTAATTTTAAAGGGAGTTCGACTTCTCAAAAAAAAACATTTATTAAAAAACAATTTAATAAATACTAAATTTTCTTCGTTGTCGCGCACACATACCACCTCTATCAAAAAGTTGCCGGTATTTATTTAGAAAATTAAAAATGCAAATATATTCGTCCAAATCTATATCGTCTTCTTCGAAGTAATCCCCCATCGACTGCATGTCCCTCGGTGTTTTCTATCCGCTGCTATCACGCATTCCCCGTAGTTGTTTTTTGACTCGATCGAACGAAAAGCAGTCACAGGGAACTAAATCAGTCGAATTCCGTTTCCAGCTCAGAATTTTGATCTCTTTCGGCGAATTGCCGGTAAAATACTCTGCGTTTACTCTCTGGTCAATGCACCTTCGGAATCCATGAAAATTGCGAACCTTGCTTTCTTTTTTGACTTTTTTTTTCTGGTCTCGACCCCTTTGGCTAATGTCTGATATTTTTGATGAATGTGGAATCGGATTTGTGTCGACAGTCCGCCACTGTGCCCGATTGCCAAAACACTTTTCTAACGTCTCCAGCAAATTTAAATCCATTTTTAATGGTATTCTTGGTTACGTAACTGTTGCAGACATAAAGCTATGACGCTAAAATTTAGAGGGACCTCGACAACAAATGTACCAACTTAATAAAACAAAAGAACACCAATCAGGACAATGGATCGTTATTCCGGGAACTTTTAGATCAAGGGGTTGGTACGAATGCCTAGGTATTCTGCAAACTGGGCATTGCGCAAAATCACTACAATTCATTAAAGATTTTTGTTTTCTCAAAGAAACTTCAACATTCTACCGTATAACTAATTTAAAAAACTTCTCCGTTTCACCTGTGTCGGATGTTGATAAATCAGTTTCGGTTGAGCTCCAAAGTACACACACACGAATCCAGAATATTTGTAATTAGTGTTAAAGGTGTGTTTATTGCTTATTAGAATAATAAAATAAAAAAATATTAACTATAGCAAGTGAAAAAAATATATATAAATAGCAAAGAAAATATCGATCAGCATACCCCGGCCCTCCATTGAAATTATTCATTATTAATCATAGTTAATCATGAGGTTAGATTCAACATCCTACTACAAAGAAAAAACAAATCCACCAATTTTTAGTCAAAATCTACAAAACGTTTGCACCCTATTGAAACAGCAACTTACGTTTAATATGAATAAATAAATAAAATATATAAAATATACGAAAAAGCTTCGTTTTAAATTAAATTTAAATATAAAAATAATTTTGGTGGATTTGTTTTTACAAAAAATAGTTAGGATGCAATGGCACGCCACAGAAATTAACAATTTTAATCGAATAAAAAAATAAAAATATAAGAAAATACATAACAAAGTAAAAAACAACCACAATAAACGGGTATTTTAAAACATTCAGATTACATGTAAAAATTCTTCCAGTCTGTAAAAACAATGAGGGAGAAACTATTTGTTAATGTATTTTTTAAAACCTTTAATTCTTTTTTTTACTGCATAAGTTATCTTACATTTGATTATTTTAAATTTAGAAATATTAGGATTACAATTGAACAAGTGAAGGCAAATCCGCTTTTTTTTATATAGATTCCTGACACACTATAAGTACAGAGACGGCAGAGGCACATGATCAGAAGTGATTTTTGCAATTTTTGAAGCTGTACCGTTCTAACCTGTACACTGACTCCATATTTGAATGGAAAAGCATCTTATTAGCAGTAAATGCGTTTCTATCATTTGACAAGAGAAAAAAAACACCATTCATATTCGAACATTCTGAGAGTGCAAAACGTGGATAAAAACAAATACTAAATGTTCGACTGTAATCCACTGTTGCCGTGTTATTCTCGCGTTAGAGACGGGCGAGGCAACAGCAACAATGGACTCGAGTCAGACATTTAACACATTCAATTTGTCAGGAAAAATGCGTCGAAAACGTCTTTTTATTTATCATCGGGTTGTCCGGTCAATGAGGAACGCGTCCCGCAAATTGGGCTCGGTTTGCAGAATACCTAGACTGGATAAGTTGAATTAAATGGGCACGTTTTATGGGGAGTTCTTTTCTTTAAAAATACGCTAAAACGTGGTTAAAAACGTTTTGTATTATGGTAAATTTTAATAATATATTCAACAAAAACATCAACAACAACAAAAAAATCGATAAAATTATCGAGAACGACCCCATTGAAATTTATAAAATTATAGAAAATCGTGACCCGCCACTGAACACACTGCCGCGAACGTCGATTGCGACGTTGCCGGATTGAAAAAAAAACACCATTTCAATGATAACGTTTAAGGAAATATTAGCGAGACATTTCGTCAAGCTATGATTAATGTAATTTTTAATTTTGAAATACATAAAAATATCATCAAAATGAAAATATTTGATAATAGATGGCGTTTCAACACAAAAGGAGGAGCTTCTTAATTTAAAATAAAGGTTGGCTTGTTTGGGTCAAAAGCCTATTGTTAGGAAAATATCGCGCAGCAAATATGGCGAAAAACAGTGTTTTTATTTTTTTATTTTAATAACGAAAACAGGTAGAACAAAGTATTAATGTTATAAAAGTGTTGGGACACCACTATTCAGATTTACACGGTGACGTGGAAACAAAATAAATTTCGATAGACGGATCTCCATCGGAAATATTTGTCTCCCGCATTTTTTTTTGTAAAACTTAAACCCAGTTTAAAAAAAAACCGAATGCCAATAAGCACAATTCGCCATTATTGAATCAAAACTCTTATTAATATAAAATTAAATCAATTAATAATGAATTTTCTATTAAATCAGTCATAATTTCGTATTTTTAATCAACAAGAACTATAGTAGTCTAAAAAAACTATGCAATGATATATGATATATTTCTCTGATGGTGTTCTTTTGACCAAACGTTCAAATAATAAACCAGCCCTTATTTTGAACAAGTTTTTCGGCGATTCTTTGGAAACACCCCGTACATCTAGGCTTACAAATAGGCGATCGAAAATCGAACATTCGACTCGGTGTCGCGTACCGATTAAAACTCACGAGCTTAATTGGCGTTTCCAAACAAACTAATTGGAACGAACGGCGAAAAAGTCCCCAGTTACTTTTCGAATGCAAATGCGCTTTTAAATTTACTGTCATCGCTGTGACAAATCCGTGCGCCAATTAATACGGGGGCACAAAAGTATTTGCGTAACAGTTGATTTTTGTTGATGTTTGGTAGTTATATGGAAAATATAACGTGCATAAAACAATATTTCCGGTTTTTTTTCTCGGACCATAGTATCGTCCGGTTCATTAATAATGCCGAATAAATGTTAAAATTTGAACCAGAATGACTTCTTACCCTCTACCGAATTCGTTGAAATTCGGTAGGGGTTTTGGTGTTTTTTTTAAATTTGGGCAACTGGAAATGCGATTTTTTTCGGTATTCGTGGAAAAAAAATAACTCGTTTTATCAATATCGAAAGAAAATTTAAGTGCAGTGTTTGTTTAGAAAAAATCTTATATTTTCCTGATCCTGACCTCACATTATTCAAGCTAAAGGGTAAAATGCTGTGACTTTATTTAAAAAATATTTCTACCCGGTACTGTGAAACTAATTGACGTACACCACTGTAAACGTTAGATTGGTTCACACTGGGGCCCCCCAAAGTTGTTCGCCAAATTTTTTAGAAATTTAGCAAAACCTTTTTAGTCACATTAAAAATAAATATTGTATAGTAATAAATATAAATTAAACAGTTAAACCCGTGTTTTTTTTTAAAGTGATGATTAAAAATTAATTTTCGGCTTTTTCCGGACATTTTAAATTAAGCGCCGGAACTACGCAACTCTAACGTTTACCGCACGGTAGAAATATTTCCAGTTAATAACGAATCGATAAGAAAAGCGGAAGAGAAACAATTAAAAAACGAATTTTCTTTCGTATTTTCACCAAGGTCCCGCGTGGGAAGCCGGCGTTTCAAATCGTTCTGTCCCAATCATCAACCCACGAAATTTAATCAATAAGCGACGCGTTTTAATAGCGGATTTTTTTTACGTCGTATTTAATTAAGCCGTACGTACGGGCGGTCGTAGCTTTCAAATTTAATTAAGCCCGGACGATGAAAAAACTGCCCCGGTAATTAAGTTTTTTTTTGTGTTTCAGGACGTCGACCGACGGGAACCAATGGGAACGCCGTCCATGCCATAGTGCCCTAGTATAGTGATATTTGTAAAAATTACGTCCGTGCTGAATAAAAGCTTTAAATGTATCATTAGGGTGCGACGCACTCTTTTCTCATGTAAATAAAAACCTTGGGTAGTTACGCATTGGTTTTCCTTTCCTTACCGTAAACGCTCGTGAGTATTAATCGATACTTACAAAAATTGCGCCGCGCGATCAGAATAAATGAAAATACGTAATGATTGGGAAATTCGTTTATTATTTTACAAAATCTACAACAAGAAAATTTTGAACGACATACTTATTCTAAGTTGACTAGATGACGTTCTTGCCGCGGCACAAAACAATTTGGGACTGGAGTGGACGCGACGACAAGAACGATAACGTAATATTCGCACCAAACGAATGGCACGCATCGATATATATATGGCTTTTGCTTTGCGAGCCTAACTTTAAATAAATATTCGCTCAATGTGTGTGTATATATAAATATTAAGGCACTTTGGCCAGCAAGGGTAGATAAAAACTTTCAGGGAAACAAACCACAACGGAACGGCTGTACAACGACTAACATATATATATAAAAAATATATAAAGGTTCTTCGAAAAATACATTATATTTACAACAATCACACCGCGTCCAAGTAGCGGCCATCTTTCGAGATCGTCGCCGGACGTGCGAAAACGCCGAACACCTCGCGTATGACTAATCCGCACGACCCGATTATATATCCTTACGATCGATGTTCGGCCGGAATAAATTTTATTCAGCAAAGCGTGGAAATTGGGTGACATTTCTATATATAATATATAATGCAAAAGTTCCGACGCAAAAAGGAAATATTAATTTGACAAAACGTCGCGCGTTACGGGCGCTGTCAGCTCTCTTTTTGGTTCGATCGAGTTGTATACGTACGACGTTCGCTGTCGCGTTCGCGCCATTTTTTGCATCTTACGCGTCGAGGGCTCGGAGGAAGAGACGGGTTTTATAGCGACCTCACTGTAACGTTGTCGATTGACGACTTTAAGAAAAAAACAGTTTATAATAAACGATCGTATTGTTACGTAAAATATCTACGAGTTAGCGACCATCCTCCGTCTTTTATTTTGTAATCCTACCGGTCAGGAGTGGGATAAAACTTGTAGAACGACGGCAAATCGTAATTAATTAATCAATCAAAAACGGTACGTTGCGTTTGACGAATTTTGGAAATTAATTTATTTAAAATCAGTCAATCGCTTGTTGCGATTAAGAGAGACGATATTAAAGGACGCGTGTGGTTGTTAAGTCAAAGGTTACCGGCAGTAGCTACGGACCAGACAAACGTTCGATAAAAAGGACAAGGTCGTACAGTAACAAGTTTTCGATAACTTCAAAGTAATACTTTTTTCAAAACTTCTGGATTTACTTCAAAGTAAATACAATTATTTCAAGATTGGCCATACTTGACGGAAACTAAACAATCGTGCCTAAGGCTAAGGTTATAGTGGATGCGTATTCTGACGAACACGTCGGAATTGTTGTTCAGATGTCAGTGGTTATAGTGCACGCTAATAATTCGGTTGTGTTAAAATATTCAAGATGGATGACAATGAAAATGTAGCATATTATTATGATTGCCAATTTTTATTGGGTGATGAAGCGTACCCACTGAAGACGTATTTGATTAAGTCATATGCTAGACAAAATCTTACAAACGAAAAGCGGATTTCTAACTACCGCCTGTCTAGGGCTCGACACTGCATTGAATGCGCATTATACTGCACAATATACTAATTGACATTGAAGGAGTTCCAACACAACCCGAACAAAATATAAACAACCATGAAATATCTGTTTCAAGACGCTACAACCATTATGGAGCAGAATTATTTTTGCAGCCCTTACGGCGAAATACAATTCCAATATAATATTTTTGCTTAAAAAATTCTTTAGCGATTTTTTCCTATTTCTGGCGAGAAGTATCTCTATTATCATAGTTTTTTTGCTTCATATCCCATAAAGATTTATTTTCAAAAACTAAACTGATTAGGTTTTCCACACCTATTGTCAAAGGAACCAATTTATAAACAAACAATAAACACAAATCGCAACGGTTCGGAACAAAATATCAAAATTGTTTGAACGTTCAGCTTATTCTGAGGAATTTGTACGTAATCTGACGAGCGGGCCGCATGCAGTATAACCAGAATAATTGCCTTTATATGTTTTGATTTTTTCGTGCGAGTTCTGATGTGTTCATCAGAACCAGAATTGTCATGGTTGCTTTACATTCGATCCGACTATGCTTTCTGTCAATATTACCGTTTCTTCTAATAAAATTATATCGCGATTTGTACGTACGTCAAAGCAATCTACTGGGTTGTTTTAAATTCAGGTTGGCTTAAGTAGAATATAGAGTTAATCCGAATTTTCGTGCAAATGACAGTCGCTTCGCAATTTTCGTTTATATTTTGACGGGTACGGAAGCATGTACTCGTGAAGTGAAATTCGCATAAACTTTGGCATTGTTTCGGTATTGTGAAAACAAAATTTTTTAGAAAATCCCGTTAAGTGGTTATCAGGAAAAATTATTTCGTTTTGCTTGAAACGAGTTGTAAAAAAATAAATCATAATCGATAAATAATGATAATAACGCTGAGGAATCGATCCCGTCGTCGCATTTACATGTTGAAAATACGCGCGAGGCCATAAAATACGTTAACGATGCCGCATCATTTTTCCCGATTTGCCCGGTATACGAGAAGTAAATTCGAATTAATAACCATTTTTCTAACGCAAACCGGGTCTCCGACTTGTCGCCCGTATTAAAGGGGGGCGGAGGGGCGCCACGATCTAGACGCGATAAAACTTAGAAAATAACGTTACGTGAAAACAGGAAATTTTCGCCTAATTGAAGATGGCCGTCGCTACAAATGAAAATAAATGCACGGTACTCGATTAAATTAACGAAGCGGCATTCTTACGGGGAGAGAGGGAGAGAGAGAGAGCCGGTCAGAAAACTTAATTGGGACTTTATTTTGTGCTATTTTTAACGTCCCATCATCGATCCCGATTATTAATTGGGTGGCGGATGTTAATTCGGTTGGTTCCTTTCGAACGTGGGTTTTTCGGCCCGGGAAGACCGAAAACTCGGGTCTTGTTTGTACGAGATTTTTGGCAGTCGATAAAATTTTAAAAAGAAATCGTACCGTATAATGTTAAAATTGGTATTAGTTTGTTTCGCCCGATTGCCTTTTTTTACGCTAAAATGTGCATTTGTCCAAGAAGTTTTCGACGAAGCGCACCGGATTTTTACTGGAAATGCTGAAAAGGTTCTCAAAACATCATTGAACGGTTCAACCAACTCGTATAGTATTTACAGGTTATTTTTGACGTTTTTCATTGTCAGAAATGCCGCACTTTTCGTTGTTATTACTGTTTATAGCGGACGGATCCTGATTAGAAAATCAAAATAGACGGTTTTCGAGGATTTCAAAACAAAGTTTTATCTGAATCGTGTGAGGGTCCGGATAGGAAAACTGAGCGTTTATTTTGAAGATAAGTACAAACAATGAACTTATGAAAACTGCCTATCATAGAAAGAAAAGGGTGAGCCGGGCGTTAGAAAATAAAAATGGGGATTAAAAACAGTTTAAAAAACACCGCGAATGGTTTGAACAATTTTTGAAGATATCAAAAGAAAGTTATACTAATTGAGCGGTAAAAGCAATATTTTTTTGCTACACTTCCTAAATCATATACCAACTGATTTCTCAAAATACTTGTTTTTACCTACTATATCTCTGAATAATACAAAATCAATCTCTAAACAAAAATACGTGATATAAAAATATAAATAAATTCTAAGCCTACAGATCTCGCATGTTATATTTTTTGTTTCTCAATTGGAAAATATTACGAGAGTTTCTGATTTCGGAGTTTTTTACTTTAATCTTCAACTGCATAAAAAAATCTTTTTTTTGTAATTCCACTTCTTTTCTGTTATTTTATAATTTTAAATTATAAAACAAATAAACTATAGCCAAACACTTGAAGTTATTTCAATCGTTTGTGCTATTCTCTACTTTAAAATATCCGGGTTCCCGCTTTATTTCCCATCCATATGTTACCTCATATTTCTCATTAATAATCGTGAAGATATACAAAAGCTTCGGAAAATGGCCGCTTGATTTCGCTCCACGAATCGCACTTTTAAAATTTGGATTTTTACCGGAACAGCGCAACAACACAAACGTATAGGCCACCAATAACAAAGCAGGGGTTTTCGATTATTGAAACGAATTTTTGAGGAATGAGTGTTTCTGCAAAATAAGACAGAATTTCTCAAAAAGGTGTCGATCACAATTTCTGACATTTTCTCAGTGCAAATCACCCCGCATTTTTAAAAAATTCTTACTTAATTCAAAATTCGGGCACAATTAAATTAGAACAAAAAATGTTCAAATTTTGACACTAATTTATTGGTTTACGATAGCTGTTTCGGCAACAAATTATTTTCTAGAAATTCCGACTTAATTCAAAGTTCTGAACCATTTTCAAAAAATTTGGGCTTATTTTTCAGGAAATTCTCACTTCCTTTTCTGAAATTCTAGATTTATTTTAAAGGAATTCTGACCTATTTTCTGATTTAAGCGAAAATTCTGCTCTATTTTTCAGAAATTGTCAAGTAATTTCCGATTTATTTTCCAAAAATTTTGACGTATTCATCAGAAATCTTGATTTAACTTAAAATTCTGACTTATTTTTAAGAAATTTTAACTTAACTTACTATTTTCCAAAAATGTTACCTTAGTTTTCAGAAATTCTGACTTATCTTCCAAAAACGCTTAACTTATGTCCCAGCAACTGACTTATCTTTATAGAGATTGATTTATTTTTCAGACTCGTTTTCGCGAAATTCCTCATTTTTTTCCCCCGTTAAACTAACACCCGTCCCTACCGGACTCGAGATGATTTGTTGACAACATTAAGAGCGAATTTGTCGGCGAAAATCGATCGATTCAACAACAGACGAACCGACAGCGCGTTCATTGCCTAAAAAACAATTCGAATCTAACGGGATCCCCGGCAGAGGGCGCTCGCGACTACCGTTGCGAGTGCGAGTGCATATGCGAGTGGGGATGCTGGGGATGGCCGTAACCCTGGTGGGGAGGCGGCAGCGGGCTCGGACACGCCTGCGAGTAACCGCCGTGTTGCGGCGATCCCCCCAGCCCCAAGTGGCTCTGCTCCAAATGCGAATAGTGCCCCTGACTAGCGAGCGAATGGGGATGGGGATGGGTGTGGGGCGAGCCGTAAGCCATTTGTCTTACTTTGTAATCGTCGTCGGACGTGTTGTAGGTGAGCTCCGTCTCCTCGAAGCCGGTCGCGGACATTCTTTGGTCGCCGCCGGCAGATCCGGCTGGCGGATCGGGCGAGTTCAGACACGTCTGGATCAGGGCTTTGCCCGCCTCCGACGTGATCATCGGCTGGAGTTTCCGCGTAGCGAACGTGTACACGTGGCCCGTTTCCGACGCCACCAGCAGCATCACCTGGGTGCCGGTCAGCGTCGACAACTCGTAGGCCTGGAGATAGAAGCGCCCTCTGAACAACCCATAGTAAAGATGAATTTGAAAGTGTCAGTTTTGGTCAGTTTGAATCGCGCACCAGGGAAAGGAGGCACCTGTACCTTGCGTGTATAAAAATTTACCTTACCGGTTTTCCTTAGTCAATTTCAGACAAGTGTAGAGTAATCCGATGGGAACTTCCTTCCATTTTTAACGAATAAGTTTTGTTGTCATTTTCGAGCAATTTCATTAAAAACTGGTATTAAGGTAGAGCATAAAAAATTTTTGAAGACTAATTTGGTGAAATGATACATCATTCCGGCTGATTCAATAGTAGTTAGCAGTTGGTCTTTCATTGGTAGTCGTAGGTAGTTTTGAATCCGTTTTGCACTTTTTTATCCACTAAAGACCATCGTTTATGTTTGTGTCTGGGTGGGACAAAAATGTTTTGGTTACTTTTGACCAATATTTACTAATATACTAAAATCAGTCAAAAATGTTTCGTACATTACAGATTTTTTATTGGTTAGGGTTTTGACGTGCCTTCTAAAAAGAGTCAAAAATAAATTGCTGGTTTTGTTTAATTCTAATTTTGATATATCTGCTAAAAATTTGATTTGATTTGAAAACGTTTGATCAATTTTGGCTATAATGCATGAGCAAAAAATTAGTATGTATTACTGGTTTCGGTTAATTAATTAATTAATAATTAATTAATGATAACCCGTGGTTTTAAAAGTATCGACCAATGAAACGCAGCTCTACAGCAGACGAAAAAATTCCGATAAAAGTAGTTAAATTTAAAATATTAAAAAATTAATAATATAAAATGCTGTTTGCATCACTAATCTGCAGAATGCCTCTTATAGATAAAATTCTTCTCAACATCATATTTTAAGGCATCGAATTTCAAAGTGTTTTTTTTAATTTAATGTTCCAAAACCGATGTTTAATTGAGCAACAAACCTATTTGCAAGAATCTATTATGATTGCCATATTACAGCGTAGTCATCCAAAATCTAAATGAACGTTTCGATTCCCACCGACTCCGAAAATATTTGCTGCAGTTACTTTAACAATCAAATTTCTTTGTTCTATGGCCAAAAACCAGAGTCTTTGGGTAACATATCTCCAACGATCATCATTTCTGTAATATCATTGGGATGTTTTTATCTAGACTATCAAACTCTCTGGGTTGTCTTGTTTGTTCACGATTCATTTCGCACTGATGAATAGTGTATTTGTGTAAGAAATTTCTCAATAATCATTAATACGTTTCTAATTTCCTATCAAAGCGCAATCTTGGAATCTGCTACAACTTTATTTGATATTTACATTTTCTTCACAATATAATTGAAATTCAGATCAACAAGAATCTCCTCTTAGTTTATACTATTTAAACAAAAGTTTGTTTTATATTGTTTACGCTTACGACCTAAGAAAATAAGTTAACAACACGATGCGTTGTTAGCTGATTTTAAACCTGGTGAAACAGATTGCGGATTGTCAGCCACCATTGTTATTTTGGCAAGAATCTTTAATTAACGATAACCATAATTGCAAGCAAGGAATATAACAGGTAGAATTGTTGAGTGTTGCTTTCTACCAATGAGTAGGGTCAGGTGTGGGGTTATTCACCAACAAAAAAAAGGTGAAAATCTTTTTTAATTATAATAGACGCCAGAATGATACGAAAATTTTACACTGCTAACATTGTTATTGTTATTTGTTGTTGTGCAGGTTCCGAGAAGAAGTAAAATGTAAAAAAAAGCCGAGATGACAGCCAACTTCCGAAGCGGAAACGCTAGACGAAGAAAAAGAAAATTCTTTTTTTTTTCTTGTATTCTTAATTAATTTTTTAGTATCACCACTTGTTTGATTTTTTGATATTTTATAAAATCGAAAGTTTTATAGGAGCCGCGATAAAATAAATTTTGGAAACCATGGATGGATTCAGCGAAATATCCGCCATATCCGCCCTGCTTATACCGATAAAACTGCCAATTATGAAGCAACTATGAAAATAGACCATCATTTAATTAAAAGAAAATATGGATGCGGAATGTTTCGATTATGTATTTTATTTATTTATACATCCGGAAGTCGTCGAGAAATTACTGATGTTATATTGACCAGCCTGTACAAAAGACAACCAATGCTCCGCAGAGACCAAAAGTACGTTATTCTTTAGCGATTTTAATCTCAAATTTAAAAAAAAAGAAAAACGTGTTAAATTATTGGCTTCGTATTAATTAAAAAACCTAAAAAATGCCAATTTGCGTGTAATTAATCACTTTTAAATTATTTGTAAAGTTATTGAAATGCGATTGGAACTAACTCGTTCGGTATATTTAGAGCTGTCTAAAAAGAATTGGAATTATTAAAAAATATATATTTGATAGTGGCCAAAACGAATATTTATTTCAAATTTTGGAAAGGAATGTGTTTGATTCAAATAACATTGTTTTTTGAAATCCATTTAAGTGAAATACACATTCACTTCTTTCAACCAAATAGTTAATTGACTAATTTAACTGCCGTTATTTGCATGAAAAACATTTATTATACTTTCCATTTTTTTTATTTGGTCGAGGAGTTCAATATTTAATATAAATAAATTGACCGTATATCTCAATTTGTTCAGTTCATGTGCTTTTCATGTTAAGAGATGCGGTATTTAGTAGTTTCTAAATCCGAAATGACAGCAAACTGATGTTATAACATATGAATAGTATTTGCGGTAAAGTATATAGATTAATATGAAGGATTCTTATGGAATATCCCATGAAAATAAAATTAAATTTCATTTCAGGTTTTGGTAATTTAAAATAAGTAATATTGGCAAAACTAAGCAAAACTATAGTTTTCATTTGAAAAAAAAAATTCGCTGCTGTTTTTTTATAAGGCTTTAATTGTAATCATTTATCAACCTATATAAATAATTATCGACTGAACGTGTTTACTGAATCAAACTTAAAGAGGAAGCGGATAATTAAGAAAATAAATTTCGAAAAAATACTTAGAATAGGATATTATGCGGGTTTGGTTAGATTTAAAATAAAATAGACGAGTTGTTGCAGAAAAATGGACATACACGTATGAAACGATCCAGAATTAAAAAATTAATTGGAAATAATATATTTTCGCCGTGGATAAGTCAAAGCGTTACATATGAACAATCGAACCGTTTAGAAAAATAAAGTTGATTTCAACATTATTGAAAGTCCCGAGGAAACGTGTTTCTTTCGCGAAGAAAATTACTCGATCAAAACTAAAAAAATTAAAAAACATTATTTTCGGGCCGGTATTGAAAATTTCGGGAATTTAATCCTTTTCTTGACTAATGTTTTAATTAAATTCGCGTGCGGAGCGACACTATCGTGAGCGGCAACACTGTGCGCGTTCCTGGGAGTTCGCCAACGCGATCGTCGCGTTCCCGGGAATAAAAGCGAACTTGGTACCCCAGAAACGGGAACTGACCGGGGCCGGACATTTGGCAACGCGAGCGTCGGTTCGGCCGATACTCGCGCATCTGGCGGCAATTATAGCTATTACGTAGCGTTCCCTCGCGTTAATTATCGCGATTTTATCACCGACGCGGTCCTTCGCGGCAACGCGCCCCTTGCCGAGTCGGCGGTTCGGTTTGGTCGGCCGGGAGAACGGGAATATCGCGATAACGCGACACGTGACCGACGTAAACGCGAGCCGGCAACGTCGCGCGGCGTCAACGGCACTCGGAACCAAACAAAACGGTCAACAAGACACTTCGGACGTACGGAAAGCACGTGGTACCGCATGGCAACGTCGCGCGTGTCTACGTTAAACGGCTCACCTTCTTCATGATCCCCGTTTTCCGCTTGGAAAACGTCGTGTATCTGCGCAGCTTGTTCTCGATGTATTCCATCTTAATTTTGACACGACCCTTGGTCTTTTTCCCGTTGCCGGGCGGCGACTTTTTCGCCTGCAACGCGCCGTACGTATCATCGTTGATGTCGTTCACCCCGCACGCGTCGAGGCCGACGTTCTGCTGCTGCTGCAGACCGCGCTCGTGGGCCATCGTGTGCCGCGGCGACAATTGCAGGCTCGTCGACGGCCTGCCCAAACCGCCGCCGTAGATCTCGGGCGGCGTCTCGCCACTCAGCAGGTTCATGCTGTAGCCCAAGTTAAATCGGGAATCTCTCCCGCCAGGCGGTTCCATTTCGCACCACAGCTTGATCGACGGTACGGGAAGCGCGGCGCGGACAAAAACTGCGTGACGAAGCGCACGCACGCAAACAGCTGACGACGACACCGCACGGTCGAAGACTGACGAGCCGCGCGCTCCCGCCCAGCGCTCCCCCACGGCCAATGTTGGCACTAGGGGCGCGCGCGTGCGCGCTCGACCGCCTCCCTCCCCCACCCGCGCTCTGACGCGACGACGGACGCGTGTCGGGTTCGAACGCGTACGTTTCCCGAATATACTCTCAAATTTCGCTTGTTTGACGGAAAAACGGTCGAAATTACGGACGCGGATCTCGACGGAGGCTGCGAACGCGATCGAGTGGGACGGCGGCTCGGGACTGCCCAACTCCATATTTGGACGTCGAACGTTGCCATGTACGGCAAAGATACCTTAAATGGTGAAACGCGATCCCTCCTTCTCTCGGTGCGTGTACCGGCGATCGCCGGACGTGATTTCGCTGGTGGGGGGTGGGGGAGGGGAGCGATTTTCGGCACGAGCCGCGCGAGGGCCGCGAAGACGCTACCGAATCGGGGTTGGTAGGTGGCGCTTCCGCGCCCGTAAATCAAGGTAGATGGCGCTGTTTAAACTTTAACATTATGCAAATATCGGATGTGGCTGAAGTTAGATTTGGATTTTACGATACGGATTTACGAATATTACAGTGGACCAGTTCGTTATTTACCTTAATTTAAAAAACGTATTCCTGTGGAAACTCCGAGAAATTAAGCCATGAAATATTGTAACGGAACTCCCAAAAACCATGTTCAATGTTGCTACATAGAAAATAACCCCTTTTCCGCTCGCATCACCCTAAATAATTCGTTATATTTATTACGCAATCTCAAAAAAATCTGACGTTGTCCCAGATATTGAATTATACCATTAAAAAGCCACTTAAGAGAGCTGCAAAATAACTCAACTACTTTGAAGCGGTCGTTAGCATATATAAAACTACCCCAATAATGAAATAATTAAATGTTCGTTTTATTTTTTTCGGAATATCAAAAAAAGCTGACGTCCCAGATATCGAATTGGACCACTTAGGAGAGCTTCAAAACCATGTACTACTCAACCACCTTGAAGCGGTCGGAAAGTTATGATACTACCGACCCCGACTATAAGATGCCCACCATTCGTTTTCAAATGGTTGTCATATTTAAAATGTTAAGTTGCACACTCTGTATATTTTATCATGTTTTATTGCTATGGTTAATTTTAAGTTAATTTTCGAAAGGTGTATATGCCTGTCTCTTTTTGTTTCTGAATTATTTGAAAAAAAATGTACAACCGGCATGTTAACTATTGCTCCTAATTCGGAAACGATTCAAATTGTTTTTTCTTTAAAGGGGACATCCTGTTTCTCTAAACGTCATCAAGTACAGAATATTAGCGTTCCCTATACTGGAAATATTTTATAATGAAACATAATATGCAATTGTTATTAATCCCAAAAGCTCAAATTTGTGCGAAAATGTCATCCCAGAAAACATTAATTAACGGCCCAATAAATATAAAAACTACAAATAAAATTTCGAAAATCTCCTGAATATCGCTAGCATCCATGATTGACGTCTTTCGAAATAAATAAAACGCATATTTGTTTATTTCATTATTGGGGGTAGTTTTATATCTTCCCGACCGCTTCAAGGTGGTTGAGTAATACATCGTTTTGAAGCTCTCCTAAGTGACACTTCAATGGTCTAACTCAATGTCTGGGATAACGTCAGATTTTTTTGAGATTTCGAAATAAATATAACGAACTTTTTGATATTTCACAATTGGGGTGGTTTTATATATTGCCGGCAGTTTCAAGGTGGTTGGGTAATACATTATTTTCAAGCTCCATACAGTATCTCTTCAATGGTCTGTTTGAACATCTGGGACATTTTCAAATTTTTTGAAGATTGCGAAATATTAGTTAAATTATTATTTGCTGTGATACGAGCGGAAAAGGTGTTATTTTCTGTAGAGCGACATTGAATATGGTTTTTGGGAGTTTCCTTACAATATTTCCGTGCTTAATTTGCCCGCATTTCTACAGGAATACATTTTTGTAATTACTGAAATCACGAACTGGGCCACTGTAATATTCGCAAATCCGAATCCAAATCCAAATCTAACTTCAGTCACATAAATATTGGTGGTTACAACGACTCCATTATTTTTTGTGGACTATTCGAAAAGGACGTAAGAGATCTATGCAACGGAATTTGAATCAGGTGCTATGGGGTGTTCGAAATAAATGATTATATTTGCATTTTACTGACCTAAGTTAAGTGTTAATCGTTTGTTATGAGTAGAGATGCCAAGTCGGTTAAATAAGCAAACCGATAGGATTTTTTCCACTGATTACGATGGGGAAAGAAAAACAATTGAATATAGGGTTTATAAAAAAAATAGGAAAATGGACTCTTTTCAAATGGAACACCCTGTACATTTTTCACTCTAACCTTCGTAAATTTTAGACAACCGCTATGAGTGATTGCGAAATAATTGCATTTCCAAACAAAAAAAATAAAAATTCTAATTAATATATAACTGTTACAGTTATTTTAGGAGGCATGCGAAAACAGCACCTCGTTACTCTGATACATTTTTGAGCGAATTACCTTTGGTATTGTTCTACCATCGATCTGATTTGTTTTTTCTTTTATGGCAGCCTTTAAAACGTCAACGCGTTGGTATATTTCCTTATAAATTTCGTCTTTTGAATAACCATTTACGTAGAAATCAAGTGGTGTTAAATCTGGCGACTCCTAGGTCAATAATGATGATTTCTTGGATTTCAAATACAAGGATTTGAAAAATTTGATTCGTCAGTCCACATAATTTACCTAAAATTATTTATGATTTAAATCATTCTGATTATGTTTCGAATAGAAGTGTCACGATATACTTCAAAATATCTAAGAACCCTAATTATATGTTATGTTATTATTATTTCTTACGATGAGTTAAAAACATAAAAGAACAATTGAGTTTTAATTCTGCTGATAATTGGGTTATTTTCAATTAATTTTGTGTATTCAACCGTATTTTTGAACAATTATTGCGCCATAATAATAATTATAAATAAGATAAATTAATTTGTAGTAATAGCGGGGTGTTTAATATTATTTACTTTTTCTGTGAATTTAAAATTTGGCCGGTAATACGAGATAAATAAGACAGGAAACTAGTAAGATTTAGAGCTCCGTAGCTAACTGATTACAAGAAACAAGCCAGTAACTTTACGCTGCTCATCCGACTTCCGGCGTTTACTACGTATCTACTCTAGGGTAATAAGCTTTTCCATAATTTTGAAAAAAAAACTGAAAGGAAGGTCACTGCCCTACAACTGCTTATCCTTATCGTTCTTTATAGATATTGGCCTTTTTCAGAAGTACTGCAAAAATTGACAATTAAATAAAACAAGTTATAAAGAACCGCGTTTGCCCACGAGTCGGACTCGATCGTAAACAAACGATGACTAAACCTTTCTAATTTTGTTTATATTCAGACGCTCAAGCCATATAGGGTGATCGCTAATTTGCAAATGAAATCATTTCTTTCGGATACCTATTTAAAACGTGTTTCGGTGTAGCAGTACGCGTGTTTTAGAACGATGTAAACATCCCTAATCTTCATCGCGGTGTAATATAAACTCAAAGAGATGATATAACGACGAGCCTGGCCGGAGGTGTTTCCAAATCATCTGAAACCATCCATAACAAGTACATTCGAAAAGCTATTTTCGAATCGATTTTAACTATGGTAACGTGGTTAGGCACCACCGATATTAATAAAATAGCGAGCGTTCCACAAATCGAGGGCGGGAAAATGGGTAAACGCGGAAAACAGAAAGAAATTCGTTTTCGTCTATTTATTAAGAATATCTGATTCCTATATTCAATGGACGATATAATAAAAAAATACGACGACTGAGCAGAGTCAATAAATAACCATTTATTAAAAAAAAAATCCATTAGGCTCGCGAGTCGTAAATGCTTCATCTGAAACTAATCTACAATTCCATTTATTTTGTAATTTTTATTCTTGCTTTACACCTCACGGCATTTGGTCTGGGTATCGTGGTGCCCGCTAAAGGCTCTGTACAACAATATCTTATACTTCGTTTGGCTGATTTTCGGTGTTATTATTCTTGAAAAACGGTTATCGCGGCGACGAAAGTGGCAGGTGCGCAAAAAACCCGATTTGGGTTTATGTACGGTACGGATTAGCGAAAAGGTCGGAAATCGTGTTTTCCAGCGATTCAAAGTATCGAGTAATAAGGACGAGACGGTGGTACCAACAAAAGCGTTGGGTCGTTTTATCCGCGGTCGCAAAAAAACTCGCGGGATCCGCGAGGAGGAAAGAATGTGTCTGCGCGTTCCCGGTACAGAGGCGTGTGTGTGTGTCGTCGTCGTACCGACTGAAATACCTCGATCGGCTGGTATCGATCGTCGAATAAAAATAACGTTCAATTGTAAAAAGCCTCTTACTCGGAATCGGCCGCTGAAAAAATCTTTTGCGGTGTATTTATTGCGAATTGTTCGAGAAAGTGAGCGGCTTTTTAAGGACTTGAAATTTTATTTACGCTAGATCCGAACGCAAGAAGCTCCGCGGTCGCGGCGTGCCCGAGTCTTGTTCGGAATCTCGACGGGACCACCGTGCCGCTTTTTAGACGTTTCGGCACCGAGGACGTTCGTCGGGCGACATAATTAACAATTAATTTATTAATAACCGTGCCGGTTGCTCATCGCACGGAATATAGGTTATAGTTAACGGATGACTTTCTTTTTTTCTCGTCTCTGGCGGTCAAAACGACATTGCCATGGCAACGCACATTGACGTTTTTAATTTCTTCCACTTTCTTTACTACAGAAGACGTTGAAAGAACCTCCACCAGTTATCAAGAACCAAGCCCGTTGCACAACGACGATAATTAATGATGACGCGAGTTTAAAATTGGCATTCCGCCTCTACGTTTGCGTGGGCGCGCTTGTCGACAACCACAGAATACTAAGGTTAAGAAATTCCATCTCAAAAACGACGCCACCATACCTTAGAATGGAAAACTATTGCCAGATGTTTTATTACATACAAGGTAAGCAAATCTACAAATATTTTTAAACGATTTTATTGTCCGGTAACATGAAAAAAGTTGATTAACGTAAAATACAAATGGCAAGATGCAAATAATAAATAACGATAATGACGTAAGTAGATAGAAAATATATATTCAACGTAGAATTTTAAGGTATAAACGGGTATTACTGGGAGAAAAATGATCTCCACAAACATACAGCGTTACAAATAATGTACCATTTATAATATGAGCCAGTATTCGAGATGGGAAACTTGTGGAAATTCCACAGACCAAAGAAGTTCC